TATTTCATGTAATCCAAGGAGGGACAAATTGTCATTTCATCACTCTAGTGATGGGAGAATCGAAAGCCTGAGATTCGCTTTGCTTCTGTGGCTCAGAGATGTAGTGTTTTCTTCTGATAAAACTAGCGCAGTTTTTGTGTTTAAAATACTCTACCTTAGTTACGACCGTTGATCCTAAATTTGTTTCCAAAACAACATTAAAAAACTCTCATGTTATATCGCGTGAAGTAATGTCAATGAATCATATTTTTCGTTTCTTTGTCCTGTTCCGTGTTACTATGATGAATAAATAATGGTAAAGCACGAGCTAACAGCAAAGCTGCATTGAAAGATGGAAATCAAAGCAGAAGACAGTAGGCAACACCAGCCCCAGTTGCTTCAAGTTCTGTATGTTTCTAGAGTGAAAAACTAGTTCAAAATGTGCACCAAAAAAAACATGAATATATAAATTGGTTCTGTTATAAGAATTTGGAATATGCACCAGTCCAACACTGGTTTCACTGAAAGAAAACGCGATTGAATAGCTTGGTAATATTTAACAGTTTAGACCATACAAGGCTGATTTCAGTAGCTTCAAGTTGCCTCACATGTCAGAAATTTTCCACTTTCCTCGCGACCCTGGAGCCTGTGGTTGTCTATATGTACTTGCTTCAGAAAGGTTTTTCACTCGCTTGACTGTTAGTTATGTTTATATATTTTACTGGGCATCTTCAAATTTTTCAAAGATTTTTCAGACCTTTGGATGTTCTAGAAATTCATCGATATCAAAAATTTCCATAAAACACATAAACCTGATTTCGACACATGTTCCTTGCGTGTCAGATGGAATTCTTATTTGACCGTTCCTTTTGGTACCTGAGAAAAATCACTTTCATCACAAGCAGTGCGGTGAGTCATCCAGTTATTTTCGTTCACCGATCTGTATGAATAAAATGTCCCATCACTATCCAAGTAGTGACTCACTTCTTTGGTCAGAACAACACTGTTGCCAGACTTAGCGATTTTAGTATGCTTCGGCGACTTTTTTTCTCGACTGGTCCGCTGGCGATTTCCAGCAACCTTTTGGCTACATTGGTAATTCCATTAAGGTTCGCTTTTTTACAGTAAAAGTCTTTTCAAGTGCCGAGTGCAGCTAGTGATTATGTTGCGCTCTCTCTCCCCAGCCATCATACAATGGAACTAGGAAGCTTCCTCTCTCTCTCTCTATATATATATATAAAGACATTCTATTACGATTTTTGAACTGAGTAACATTAGTAGAACTGGAAAAAGCTTTCTCTTGTAGATTGCTCCACAATCTCGACACTTTCGGAAAAAAGGAGTGGTCGTATCGGCCAGTTCTGGGTGTACGGCACGGTTAGGATGGGAGACCAAAGCCAGGAGGGTCTGTATGGCAGGCACATCGCGCGGCAGCATCATGGAAGAGAGCTCTGAGGAACAAACCCTTTGGTGTAGCGGTAGAAGAGAGCTAGATCACCGACAGCCCGCTGATGTGAAAGGGTCCCGGTCTGTCTGCTAGAGAAGAGTCATCGATCAGTCGAACAGCCCACCTCTGGACAGCATCGAACACAAATAATGTAGTCGGGGCGGCACCTCCCCAATACTCGAGGCTAGGTCTTACCTGGGCCTTGTATAGAGTGAGAAGGTCATGCGGAGAAAAGTACTTCTTAGCCCTAAACAAATAGCCTAGCCCAGCAGCTGCCGTTATTGACGCGATGTGTTCGTGCCAGATCAAGTCCTCGATGATCTGGACTCCGATCAGCCGAAATGAACGGCTCTTAGTCAGAACCCGGCCATCAATCGAAACCGGATGAGCGCTAGGACGCTTTTTATTCGTCAGTACAGTACTGTGTTTTGGAAGCATTAAACTGTATAAGAGTGTTGCGTCCCCAAGCAGTGGTAACCTCCAGGTCTCTCGTCAGAGAGGAAGTCGTCGCTAATCTTCTTTTTCCCAGCTCAGCTGCAGAGTTATGCTTGTCACTCTGAATTCCTGCATGTAGAGTGCTGTCATCAGTGAAGCTGGGGATTGGGTTGATCGTTCAGGGAAGGAGATCGTTGATGTGCAAGAAGAACCGTGTCGGAGCCAAGGCCAATCCCTTGGCAACACCCGCGTTGACCTTGCGGGATGAAGAGGAGATCCCATCAATCACGACGGATACCTTGCGGCCAGAGAAAAAGTCAGTTATCCATCTACAAAGCCTTTCTGGGAGGCGATGGCATGGAAGTTTGAATCAGAGGGCAGAGCAACGATATAAGCCTCACCGTAATACTGAATTAGCTTACTCAACAATTGCGTGACGTAAGCTAGGAGGTCCCCTGTGGATCGCTGGTGTCGGAAACCATACTGCCTGTCGCTAGTCAAGCCGAGAAGTTCGAGGCAGTCCAGACGCTCGCGATTTATGCACCTCTCATCACCTTACTTATAACAGAAAGCAAAGCTATAGGCCTGTAGTTGTACGGGTCGGTTTTAGGTCCATTTTTTGAGAAGGGTTGGACATGAGCAAATTTATAGTTTTCTGGATTCATAAGACATCTGGAAGAGACGCGAAAGAACTGGAACAAGTTCCGCTGCACACCTCTTCAGTACAATCAAGTCCGGACCAGAAGCTTTGTTGGGGGCGTCCATGGTGGAGTTGGCAGCAAAGATCTTGGCAAGCACTTCAGCCTTGGCCTTCGAGTAAGATACAATCGTTCCATCCTGACACGTAAGTGGTGGAAGGCTACTGTGTGAGAAGTTCTTTTCAATCTGCTTGGCCAGCGTCCAGAAAGACCGATTGCCATTTGGCTGCGACATTACCTTGCCCAATCAGACATATCTTTCATCATTTTCAAAGAAATTGTACAAAATCTTCAAATTTGTGAAGTTAGCGAGTTTCACTTCATACGTTGTTACCAGACATGCCCAAATCATTAGTTGCTGCCGTGATATTCATCCCGACCACTGCAGCCTCACGGCTAAGCGACCTGTATGTTAAATTTGTGTTGATAGGGCAGCACGCTATATAAGAGCTTTCTTATATTTGTTCATCAATTTGATGATACAACACGTCTGCCAAAGATGATCATAATCAGGATAGTAAACTATGACGAAGGTCCACTGTATGTAAGAAAATTCAGATACGTCATTTGCAATTTGACAACAGACCATGATGGTGTTCACACTTTTCAAATATTCTGCAAGTCTAGCTCCAACTATCATGAGTAACTATGTTTGTGCTCCTACTTTCAATTCAAAACCCGCAAATGTAAAAGATTCATTTCGCACCCTCCACCACGGGACGTGATCGTCGTTAGACTTGGCAACCCTGCGAGTGACACATAGATATCCCCGCCAGTCAAAAAGGCATCAAACAATAAACATTATCAGTTTTTATGATTTTGGACTTAAAATACATTATTTGTGAGAAATTGTTCATAATTTCTTGTCTATGTCTATAGTAATTGCATTCTGCATCACGGAGATGTAGGGATTGACACGTCTTACATATATTATCTGTGTTTTAGTATGGAGAGGACAATGTTTTTATGGCTTTGAAGAAATTCAATAACCCGTAAATTAATAAATGATTACTATTATGATGTAAAGGAATATGAGGGATTGGTTGGAACGTATTTTACATTCTATTTTCTTGCAAAATACAGACAAATCCACACAATTAGATAACATATAAACACTCAGTATATTGAACTTAACAAATTCGAGATTGCCATGCATTAACAAACGTCCAAACCTGCTGCCAAATTTAACAGCTAGAAAATCGACCTATTATTTGCTGCATTCCTATTGGCTTTGGGGATAACTGATAGTTAAATGTGAATTTATAACAGAAATCAAAATACATGAAAGTTGTCCTGTTTTCTCTGTACAAAAGCATCACGTTGGAATCAAAAAGTGGTCTTGTTTATAATACAGTCGAATTTTCACGATTTTATTGAATATCTCAATATTTTTTATTTTTTATTGGCACTAGGACATTGCGTCCCATTAGCCAGATTCAATCTTTTATATGTAAATCTCTAGTTATGGACAAACACACGACGTCACAACATCCATGGCGAAGGCGAGATTCGAACTCGCGGCCCGGCCGGCCGGAGGATCAGTAGCACGACACTCTGACCCGCGCGGCCCGGCCGAGGTCCAATATCTCAATAGAAATCACTGATATTCAGAGAGTTTGACAGCTTCCGTAAAATTGCATTTCAATAAGGTCTTTTCCTATTGAAGTGTATTAATAAAGTAACATCAGAAAATTGCGATACATCCTTCCTCAATCCTAACAAACTCCCACTCTCAATTTTTGTTACCCCTAAAAATGATCATTATCCAAAAAATAAAGTTGGAGTGATTTTTACTTTTTTCGTTGTTGGCATTTTTATCCAGCACCACTGGCCGGATTTCCAAATAATACCAAGACTTTTCGTCCTTGGCACAGTAGTAACCTTGTGTAAAGTTTCATCCAAATCTGAGCAGAATTTTCAAGGGCCAGGAATTTGCGGACAGACCTGACATATCAACCGAAATGACCAACTTGGCCTTCCGTGATCTACATGTCATATAATATCCAAAAAACATATCGCATTTTCAAAAATTTTCGCAATTACAATCCGCCAGTAGGCATGGAAAGTAAAAGGTAAAACAATGGATTGAAGATTTCGTAACGGTAGAAATGCGATTCCACAATAAGCTTATAAACAGTATCCCAAGAACAGCAATTTTCTGTGTGCTGCTATAATTATAATTATAATTTCTCTATTTTTCTGGCAAATAAAAATTGAAACCAGAGATCTCAACTGAACTAACACGTCCAAATTTGCATGATCCTACTGGCTAGTAGGTGATAAATGTCTGGAAGGCAGCGAAAAGCGAACAGAAGCGACGATCGAGTGATCGTGTTTGTTTTGACGCTTTGACGCAGAGCAAAAGAGATTTGAATAGATTTCTAGTTCATGACATGTTAAAACTTAAGTGCTTATAATTGTAATGAATAAACAATACTTACGTAATTTTGAGCTAAATCAGGATGATTAGTCTGTATGCCATCATCCAAGATTGACACCACTACTCCCTTTCCTGTGTAACCTTTCTTCCATGCTGGTACTAAGTTCATGTCTAGGCCATCCTTTGCTCCTCCATTCTGGAACAAAATAAAGTTAATTAAGATCAAATGACATACAAAATAGCACTACTACTCTTGATTTTAGAAAAATCTCTACCAGGCTTCTAGATTTATATTTGTTTCTTCTTTGACTTTTATCATGCTAGGATAGCAACCCACAGAGTACAAATACTATATTAGTTCAAGTCTAGATACAAATACTGTTTCATAGTGTTTTCAATTCAAGTGGTAGGAATACAACCCCTTGGACTAGAATATCTAGAATATCAGATGTATAGATGATTTTTTTAGATCATTGATACAGATTTTATTAAACATCCAAAAATCCAAAATGGAAAAATCGCTTTGTCGTGTGTATTCACTGAACTATGAAGTATTTGTATGGTCCACAGGCCATATAAATTGAGAATAGGAATACGTTCCATTTGGCACAGCGAAAGCGGTTGATTTGCTATTACAAAGTCAAAAATTGTTGATTTAAAATTTTTCTTCTTACCGAAAAGTGCATAAAGGGAATCTGAAATATTAGGATAAATACTGAAAACGTACGCCGGTTGAAGAGAAAGGAAGCGGATTGGGTCATGTGGAAATTTCAACAATGTTCGACAATGTCCATGTTTACTTCGCAGGTAACTTAAGCGCCTAGATAGCCATAATTCTATGTATAAATGCTGGTATGTGCCCGTTTACATCATGGCTATGCGCCATATAAGTGCTGGCTACCTACAATGTAAAAATAGCCAACGAAGACAGAAAGAGGCAGCTAGCAAAGCATTGTCGGATGACTGTCATACTCCTAAGTTGTTTCTTTTCCCCTCAATGGGCATGCACTTTTACACAGTTCATAAGGGAGATTGTGCTCAGCACAAGTTGAACCATCTGAGAACAAACGGTGGCCGGAGGTTGGCACCGATTATTGTATACCCCTGGTTATTGTCAGAGTTCTGAACTACTTTCGAATAGTTCTACAGTTCTCAGAGGGGTGCGACAATAGCTCTGTAGGTTTTTTGCTTAACTTTTAAAAAAGTTTTGGGGTGCTAACTTCACGCCGCACCCCTATTAAAATAAAAGTGCAAAAAACAGAGTTCAAGCGCAGCACCCCCTCACATATCTTAAGCATAATATTCTGTACAATTTCAAATGCAGAGCTCAGAGATGTCATTAGAAAAAAACTATCCTTGGTTGGGGAAAATGTGGAGAAATACCTCCAAAATACTAAAAATTCCCACAAAACTGTTAAGTCGCAGAGCTCTAGCACAGCACCCTCTTTAGATACCTCTAGCATAATACCCAGTACAATGTCAAAAGCAGAACTCAGGGGTGACATTAGAAAAAACTACCCTTGTTTGGGAAAAACGACGAGAAAGACCTTCGAACAAAAATAAAAAAGCAGCACATCACCCCTTTTAGATATCTCCATCATAATTCTGGTATTTCTCGACATTTTCCCAACCAAGGGTAGTTTTTTCTAATGGCATTCCCGAGTTCTACTTTTGAAATTGTACAGAATGTTATGCTCAAGATATGAAGGTGGGTGCTGCGCTAGAAGTCTGCCTAAATTGTACTGGGTATTATGCTAGATGTATCTAAAGGGGGTGCTGTACTAGGGCTCTGCGATTTAACACTTTTGTGGAAATTTTTGGTATTTCGGAGGTATTTCTCCACATTTTCCCCAATCATTCTCTCAGAATCCCCAATTTCAGTGTTTCAAAATTATAGAACATCATTGCTTGCATGAATGTGTGAGGCTTACTGTGCTGGAGTGGCGTGTACTTGTCGAATTTTCTGGCGATAAATGTGACAACTAGTGAATTGTCTCGTGGATGGTTGTTGCTGATTTTTTTTAATTTCGGAATTTTTGCAGAATTCTTGGTAAAAACTACTGAGAACTGTAGAACTATTCACTACCTTAGCTCAGAACTTTTGTCTTGAGTAAAAGGGGCGCGGCGTGAAGTTAGCACCCCAAAAACTTTTATAAAAATTCCGCAAAAAACTGCAGAACTATTGTCGCACCCCCTGAGAACTGTAGAACTCTGAAAATAATCAAGGGTTATGCAAAAAGGAATGTCAATTTCCGGCGGATAGAACTAAATTAGTTACGAACATGTATAACATAGAAATTAAAGGAATCAATTCAGTAAAAATGTCTACACAATTAGTCCAGAGACATTCCTCCCTTGCCGTACCGGTAGACCATCTGATAAAGTCGCCTTTTTTCGATACCGATACGGTATAACACGTCAGACGCGGCAGCGTGGCAGTAAGGCCAGAACACTTACCAAGACCAGCAAGCGCACTGGTGGTTCTAGACAACAGTGTATCGAAAGCATTTATCTATCATTATATTGAAGGCAAATGTACGGACACATCTGGGATGAGTGAAATATATCTAATACGTGCGTATATCTGACGAGGTTCAATGCGTATAACATAGAAAGATCAAACAAATTGGGATTATGCTCAACCACCCTCAATTTTTACACATCTAAAAATTTTTCAAAAATGATTAGAATCCTCTGAACGAGGTCTGAGAGATTTATTATTTTTGTTATGTCTTTGGATTTTTTCTTTAGTGCCACTGTACCGATTTTCAAAAATTACAAAGCTTTTTCGCCCCTGACAAAGTAGTAATCATGTGAAAATTTCATCAAAATCTGACCGGTACTTTCCGAGTTATAGACGAGCCAGGAATTTGCGAACAGACCGACAAACAGAAAGACAGGCAAGACAGACCGACACTCAGACCGACGGATATAGTATTCGTGATGTAAATGTCATATAATATATACGTATACATCTAAAAGCATAATGTCCTATTATCGAAATTTTCCGCAATTACGCCAGTGGGCGTGGGAAGTAAAAGCATCACGATTTGCGTTTCCTGTTTGTTAATAATTTTCTGATCAAAGCGATTATCTTTGGTGAGCTGTCAAATTGAAGACTTATGTTCATATATATTTTTCACACCTTATTTTTAAACCAAGTCACACAGCGTTTTAAGAATAATCAGCAACATTATTCTAATCTCTAGACTAGATGAAAGATTTTTTCATATATCCATCCTCGAACATAGTATATGAATTTCCATTACAACGTCTATCTAAACGGGTCCATTTTGGATACGAAAGTTTACAGTACATTAAAAAACAATCTGGTGACCAAAAAGCAAAAAGCTCTGGGTCAATGAAGGTACAATTTCATAGAACGATCATTATACTGCAGTATCCCATCAACCAAAGCTCGGATTTCGGCCGATAAAATATTTGCTAGCAAACATGTGTCTTTGCTAGAATTCGTTTTACTGATACAAAGCGCGGACTTTGTTATACCAAACCGTAACCTGTTTATCAACAAATTTGGTTTTCCCCACGTATTGTTGCACCCATTTACGTAGTCGTGCCATAAGTTCTGTCCCATGATAATCTCATGATAAAAATGAAACAAGATAAGATATATTTATATGAAAGATATTATTTATTCGACAACATTTTTAGAATTCATAATCAAACAGTTTTATTCAAAATGTCCCCCCTTGGCCTTCACACACTGCTTCAATCTCGCGGGCCACTCATCTATCACTGCACGCACAGCTTCCAAAGGAATAGCTGCCGCTGATCGGATCAAATCCGCTTTCAGGGACTCGATATTACGGTGGGCTTTGGAGCAGGCCAACTGCTCTAGCTAGTCCCACAACTTGTAGTCTAAAGGATTGAGGTCCGGACTCCCTGAGGGCCAATCTTCCGCAGCAATGAACTCTGGCACATTGCTTTCCAGCCAGCGCTGCGTACTCTTAGCCTTGTGAGCGGGGGCGGAATCCTGCTGGTAGACCCAGTGTTGGTTGGCAAACAATGTACCACTTAAAGGCTTGACGATAGGATCCAGTATGTCGCTCTGATAGTTTGCCGCTTTTGTTTTCACGCCCTGTTTACAGAAATGGAGCTGTGTGACCCCTTCGTAGGACACCCCCCACCAAACCATGACTGACGCAGGGTGGTGGCCTCTCTCAACTCTCGGAATGATCTCCGAAGCTTCCTGTGAACTCCTTGCATACACTTTGTCATTTTGTCGGTTGAATTTTTCTTCTATGGTGAAGATTTTCTCATCCGTGAACAAAATCTTTCGGAATCCCCCAGCTGCGTACCTCTCCAAGAGCTTCTTGGATCTTGTCGCCCTGATGTGTCGCAAGGTGGCCGTAAGTCGCTGGCCCGTACGTCTCCGGTAAGCCCCTAGCCCTAGGTCTTGTTTAATGATGCGCGACATCGTCCGGACAGGAATCTTCATTTCCCTGGATAGGATCTTCTGCTTCCGGAGTGGATTCCTTTGAATCCTGGCTTTTACGGCTTTGATGGCTGCTGGAGTCCTTACTTGACGAGGTCTTCCGCTTCTTGGCCTGTCATCAACAGAGGACGTCTCATTGTACCGCTGAATGGTCCTAGACACAAATTTACGCGATATTTGAAGGCCGCGTAAGAGTTCAAAAATCTGACTAGCACTGTGATTACACTTATGTAAAGCTATCACTGCAATACGGTTCTCTGCCTTGCCCCACTCCATCATTATGCTTCGAGAGATCAATACAAACTGAGGTATATGTAAATACCCGAAAAGCGCTTAATCAACTGATACCACAATGTAAACAATCGGACAAGTATTAACAGGTCTACACTTGTTTGAAAACGAGGGACAGAACTTATGGCATGACTATGTATTTGCCTTACGTGGCCCCATGAATCTAATCATTTTGCCTGAGATGCCAAAACTCTTAATTCATGAAATGAGCAATTTTTATTTTTCAATTTTTAACCCTAGCTTCGCAGCCACTGGACCAATTTTAACAAAAACTACAGAGCTTTTACGTCTTTGGCTTAGTAGTAATCTTGTGTAAAATTTTCATCAAAATCCGAGCGGTATTTTTTCAATTATAGACGGGTAAAGGACAGACGGAAATGAGTGACGTGATTTTTGTTGATGTAGTGATGTAAAAGACTCCATTTTCGGAATTCTTCGCGATCACAATATTTCCTCGTCAGTGGAAAGTAAAAGTGTTCGAAAATGATGACAATTATGG